ACAAATAACAAACCTTATTTTTTTAACTTACCTTTTTAATTCAGGTTCCAATATCTGATTTGGGCATATAAACAAATACCTAAATCTGGAAAGTGGTGAAACTGCAGCCAAAAATAGATTTGGTCTTCCACTGCCATTCTTTTCGTCGGGGACTGTATTACATATCGAGTCCCATGACTTATGATAATCAGAACATTTTTTGAAAAACTGAAGTTGATTTTCAGTTCAATACCCTTGACATTGAGCAAAATCTTTAATATCAATATTCTAATTTAACTCGACAAATGCTTTTAACATGTTCATTTCTTCGTAAAGAGCATCCAGAATTAATATAAGCCAAGGAAAATCTTTTTTTATTTTTTGTATATAATGATATAATACTCCATCACAAGTGACTACTATCCATTTACGACTACCATTTTTAATTCCAAATATTTCTTCAATATGTTCAAGAACTTTTCGAACATTAACAATTGAGTTTAGAATAATTCCTATTGGATCTGAAATAAATATTTGTGGTGTATCCTCACTTTCTAAAATAACTTGTAGTTTATTTGATCCTTTAAATATATGAGAATGAATAACTAGTGGTTTTTCAGTGGTATTTATAATCTCAAATGGTTCGTTAGATTGCTGACTTATCTCAACAATGGTTGGTAATTTACTATGGTATGTAAGACAAACCCACTTCTTATTATTGATGTTAGAGGTTTGACAAACTAAGCATTTTTTCTTATATCCTATTTGACCTTGATTATGTATCAATTCATCAATCATATTTTTTTCTTGACTTTTCTCAATACAAAGCTCTTCTAAAATAATAGAAAGATAATTAGTAAGTTCTTTATGAATTTCATTTTTCATATTTGAAGTTAAATAAAATAATTTCTCATATTGTTTTTGGGTGAGTTCGGAATGTAACCAAGGATCTATAACTTGAATATTATTATTTTGATCGTAATTAAAAGTAACAAAACTTGTAACAGTATAGAATATAACTGTATTATGTCTACGATCTAAATAATTTTTTTGACCTTTTTGCTTATTATTAAAAGCTAAAAATAAAAGACCTTCTAGAACTGATAATTGTTCTTTAGCTAAACTTTCTAACCAATTGGTAAACTTTGTATAACTATCAGAGCTAATAAAATGATTATCAATGTCAATAATCATTTTTGACCTTGCCAATGAATATTTAATTGCTGAAGCAGCTAAATTAATAGCAGATATATATTTTAAATGTCTTGAGCTATATATAGCATCAACTGCTACTGCACACTTAAAAAGCTTTTCTCCTTTTTGTCAATGCTCATTTTTGTTATGAGTAAGAGTTTCTAAAAATTTTACAATAACTGGATTTCGTTTAGTAAGCCATTTGGAAGGAGAATATTCTAAAAGACTATCCAAACAGAATCGCTCATGATTTTTTATTAAACCTGCTATATCTTCATACATATTATTTCATTTCCTTTTAGCAATTTCTATTACAGACTCAATATAATCCTATTGGTCGTTAAATCTTTCATTTAACCTCTTTTTTAATTCTTCATTTTCAAATAATAATTGCCTATTAAGATTTTCTAATTCATC